ACAATATAATTTGCATATGTTTATTAATATGCAAATGTTTTATTAAATGATAAAATAAGGTATATTCAACATCCCCTAACCATGTTTTAAAAGTTTTTTAATGTTATATATAGACAGAGACAATGTGGCACACTAAATTTTAAAATAAAGCATATTTATCTTTTCTTTTTCCATGATAAGGTCTCTTCTATGATACACTCTTTGTTTTTAGACTCTGTACTTTCTTTGCCATCTTCTCTATTCTAATAATATCTATGTGCTCTCTTTATTCTTACGAACTTAATGAACTAATCCTCAAATCCACTGACTTTACCATATTGTTTTTTTAATGTCCATCTTCCACACTCGTCTCATTGAAATTTATAAAAAACACTAGTTAAGGATGCACTGGAAGGGTGGATCTAAATTAAAATTAAGTGAATCAACCGTATGGATTCACTGATGTCTGAGTTGCAACTACTGTGGTGATTTTGTTGGAATGTTTAAAGTGTAGGATTTTGTGATGAGGGTAAAAATTCGGTTGGAAACAGATTTATTATACTATCACACCATCACCCAGGAGAGTGTGAATATGTGGAAGCTCTTGGATGAATAAAGAGGAATAGGAAGCTCAGGATGAGATATTCACATCAGGGATACTATTAGCATAACAAATATTGTGTAAGCTTGCAATGTACTCTCCAACCTTGAAAAATAGATAGGACTGCTATCTAATAGTAAGACTGCTTTCAAAGTTTTTAGTATAAACAAAATTTAGAACGAATTAGAAGCTGAGTGGGATTCTATTCTCTCTGCTCTCACAGTTGTAGGAGTACCAAAACATTTTTCCTATTGGCTTTTGAGCTCACTCACACATATATATTTTTAAGATTATTACTTTCTTTAGATAAAATTTGGTATTGCTCTACTGGTAAAAAGGATGCTTCAGAATAAATATGTGACCTCAGCCTTTTTCTAAGCAAGACATTTTCTACTCAGTAGTTAATAAAATAATTTTAAGAGGGATTTAGAATTATATTGAAAATAGAAGACAGGACTAAGTTTGTTATTCAAAGAAAACATAACTATTTCTATGCGAGCATAGATATAATGTACAGCTTTTTAGAAAGTTATGAACATTGGAAGAACATGTTTAGAAAAAAAATTCGGAAGGATTTGATCTGAAGGATCTGAACCCCTTTCTTGTTTTAAAAAGACAGGAGAACTTTAAAGTTGCATTGCTACTCATCCATGTCAGGCTTAAATTTGCTCAGCTGGGGCAACCTGCATTTGCTTAGCCACAGATGGATATAAAGAAGATGCTATTCATCTGAAACAATGATCCTTTTACTTATCATAGCTGATGTGTGATGTACATGTCCCATTTAAATGAAATGATCTTCACAGTGTCATAAAATATTCATTAAAAATTTTCAGGCAACTTGCAATTCAAAATGTTTCACAATATCTGCTATGGATTAAAAGGGTTTTGCTTGGTTTGATTTGTTTTTTTTAACCATTTCTTAACTGACATTATTTTCACATGTATATGTATTTAATCAAGTAACAGTCTTACCATTTTATTCTATTTTCACATCCTGCCTTAAAGCCACATTTTGTGCTTTGTGTGTGGCATAAATCAGAATCAAGTGTCCCTAATTTATAGACCTGCAAAAATTTGGTGTAGTATAATTTGAATTTCCAAAGGGGAAAAGTCACGAAAGTATTCAATGACAGTTTGAATTTGTTAGGTGTGAGCACTAATTTGTATGGAAGAAAGGTAATGGATGAGGAAAAACCATGGGACCAAGGAGAATATTTTCAACACACAGCAGGAAATACCAATACCATTTTTGTGTTAGTTTTCAAAATTAATTCACTCTGGAAAATGACTTTGGAGCTGATGATGGTAGCAATGAGCATATTCCAGCTGAGGCAGGTGTCCTGCTGGGGAGCCCAGACAGGGTTGGTTACAGGCAGGTCTAATTCCCGAGGCTCCAGCTGAGCTATGTGGTTTCATGCCAGTGCTGATTGAAGGTCCTTTTCCTCTGGGAAGCATTCCACCAACTTCCAGCCATCATTCAGAACTAATTTCTGCACATCCAGCAGCCAAGTCTGTGGAATACCTGGTAAAACTGGACAGAGCTGCTGTTGTGCATCAGATGTTTGGAGACTTCTTTGTCCTTCGTCCTCCTGATATAAGGAACTTATTGTTTTTGTAGCCAGAAATTGGTTATTCCTTTTCCTTAGATGAAGTGACCAGCTATGCCTGCTCATAAAATGCTTTCCAAATGCTTTCTGCTTTAATATGAAGTTGGGTATAGAAGAAAATGCAAATTCTTATCTTAAGGAACAAAATAAGACAGGTTGCAATTCCTGCTAGTTATACACCAATTTCCTTATCTTCCATTGTAATTCATTGATTAAAAAGATCAGTGTGCCTCAATTCCTTCTATAACTTATTCCTGTGAGAGTTGAATCCCAGTGTGAGAGGTGACAAAGACTAAGAGGCCAAAGAAGTTCCTTCCCCTGGTGATTAGAAGGAGCCCATGACAAAAGGTTGTCAGGGGAGAAACTGTAGAACAAAATATATAGAGAAGGGAGATTTTATCCATCATTTTCCCAAGGAAATGAATGCAAGGTGTTCTCACTTCATTACTTTGAGTGTTTCTCTTGACATCTTTCTCAAATTCTGTACCTTTCCAAATTGATTTTATATGCAATCATAGAAACAAAACCGTTCTGATTGGAAAACCACTCTGATCTCTAAGATCAAGTCCAGCCATTAACCCAGCACTACAAAGGCCTCCACTAAACCATGTCCTCACATTCACATTTCTTTGGAACATTTCCACTTTTGCATGCCACAATAGAAAACTTGATATTTAATACAACACAATGCTTTCAAATTATTTCAGTCCTCTTGAATCCTGTGGATTTGATGAGGATATAAATGATGCATTGACTCGTGGTTGTCTCAGGCGAGAGCAAAACCATTTACCATGAGTTCTGCCTGTTTTCTGAGAATTTTTGTTTCAATTATAGCTACAGATTTTGTGACGCAGGCATAGCTCCAAAAGGAAACAGAATGACATCAGATGCAGAATAATTTGGGGTGTCTTTGAAAGTAAAAAAAAAAATAAAGTTTGGCAAGAGAAAGTAGCAGGTAATGAAGCAAATTAAATTAATTTGTGGTACAGGGCCTCAGAAAGCTGGATGTTTGTAGGCATAAACCATGTGGACAACATCTCTGCTACCTGCCTCAGCTTTTAAGAGCAAACTAGGCAGATCTCATCAGGCATGGATTTGCTCTTCATAAATCACTAACTCAGATGGTGGTGGCTAAAAATCTGTCACAACTGAAAAAAAAAAAAAAAAAGGAGAAAAAAACAAAACAGGTGTCTGTCCCAGAAATAAAAATGTCCAAACATGCACAGTGCTTAAAAGTAATGCATCTGAAAACAGACAATACAGAAGACATGAGTGTGACTGCAGTAGATTTATTGCTCTATAATATATGTGGACTGAATGAGCTTTTTCTTACATAGTTACCCTCTCTGAATATCTATGAATTTATAATGCTGCTTCTTAGCATTTATATTTGTCTACACTAAAGATGCAATAATTTATTAACATGCTAATAAATGTTTAATACTTCTTCTCTTTATCATTTTATAAAACTCTCTCCTTAGCCTCTGTTTCTTGAAAATACGAGAAGGACAAGCATTATACTAGCACAATGATGTTTGAAAAGTCAGTGTATTTTTATGTACATTTTTAAAAAGTCTCACATCTTGTTCATAACCTCTGTTGCACATGTTGTTGAAAGCAGCAGAGTTGTAGAAGACATGAGGCAAAATCTCATGTTGGATTTCATGTGTTGTGCCTGGTAGTTATGTTTCAGGGTTTTTTTTGTTTGTTTGTTTTGTTGGGGTTTTTTGGTTTTTTGTGGTTTTTTGTGTTTTTTTGTTTTTTTGGTTTTTTTTTGGTTGGTTGGTTGGTTGGTTTTTTTTTGTTTTTTTTTTAATATATCTATATAGTAGATGAAGTTTAATACCAGAAAAATAAAATTGAAAGAAAATGCTTTAAAGATCAAAGCTATTCAAAAGATTCTGTTTTACCTTTTTTTTTTTTCTTTCTACATATTTCACATATTTAACTTTTGAGAGGCTTTTATTTACAACTGTCATTGTTTGGGAGAGACATTTGCTTTACAAATTATTTGAAACTCAAACTTATGAGGAAAAAAACCAACAAAGTAAATGTAACTTCCCATGTTCTTCTAATTGCTGAAGTCACTGAAGACCCAAGTTTATTTCATGTTTTTTCAAGGCCAATGAACTTCAGATGTCATGTTGGACAGGATATGAAAGTTTATGTCTTTCTACGTAAATTAGAATTTCACTTTCAGCTTGCCACCTATTCCAATTGGCAGAAAGCAGTTTTCCTGAAGTCTCATGTAACTTTCCTAAAATTTCTGAAAGCACTTAATATTCAATCATAAAACAGTCTCATGAGAAGAAAGCTTCTCTGGGTGGTTAAGAGAAGCCTCCATCTGTTGCACAAAGTTCAATAAATCAGGTATCTTTAAATACACTAGGAATCAGATTAGGCACTCCAGTTAGTGGCATTTTGTAGCACTGTGAAAACTTTTATCAATCAGTCTTGTAAATCATGTTTTATGCTTTTGTCTTGGCAATTTTCATCTGCATGCAATATCAAATTAACGGTATTTACCAAGTGTTAAAAATATATAAGATTTTAACATGAGAGTTGATACAATGAAATTTAAAAATTAAGAGATGAAGAAAAGTAAAGAGGTTTAATATTTTTCTTCATTTATCAGTTCTGAGCTATCAATGTAGAGTCAATGCATTTCACAGTAGACATAAAACAAGCTTTGCACTCACAATCTGAGCTGATACTTGCATGAGCGAGTTATGCCTGTGTTCTCCTGCCTGTTTCTATTTAATGGTGGTGATATAACTTTTTTTTCTTCCCTCTCTCTTTTTCCTCTACAGCAATGACAATGCAGTTCATCAGCCATCGGTTCCCTGACTACCATGACCCAACTATAGGTGAGTACAGATTTTTCTCCCCTTCATCCCTTTCAGTTTCTCTGCCTGTATGAGACTGTGAGACAGTGAGAATCTGCTTGTAAAAGGTAGAGGCAAGATTTTCAAAATTTTGATTACACCTTAATTTTGTGATGATAATTGAGTTGTGTTATGGTCTTTCCATAGATACTTGTTCCTGATGTTCTTTATACAAAAATCTCTTTTCTTTTATACAAAAAAGTCAGGGTTCTGCATTCATGCACCATAACTATTAATGTCGTGCATTTATAACTGCAGAATATGAAACAAAATTACTAAAGAATGTGAAAACTCCAATCTGGAGTGGGGTTTGCTTGTCTGGTTTTTTAAGTCCTATTATTTTAGTGCTATTTCCCATATTAAAGTCTTAGCTGACCTTCTCTAGGAACATCAAAAGACTACTCAATTTAAGACTCATGCTCTGGTTTTACACACTCCTGCTAATTTTGTCGGGTTTACCTACTTGATAAACTTTGGTAATAACAGAAATTCACACATATGTACACTTTCTTACAGTACAAGTCTTTATCTGAAATAAAATTTAAATGCTGAGTGACTCTTAGAATTTTATGTTTATTCATTTAAGAGTGCTTTTATTACTTAGTTTTACTTATACTTGCATGTATACACACTATCCATGTGCGGTATTTAATTATAACAAGAAAAAGAATTTGTGCCCGGTAAGTGGAGAAACTTCTTTGAGGGGAAAAAAAAAATCAATTCCTCTCAATCAATTTTTTCAAAATTTTCTTTGAAATTTTCAAATATTTCAAACTTGCCTTTAACTTCTATAAAAATACTGTATTGCTATAGAGAGCAGACAATGACAGCTTTTATTTTTATTTGTTATTTCTATGTTATTCCACATTTCCTGGATTTTCACTCTTGGTAAATGGTCATAATTTTAATAATGAAAATATATATAAACTCTTCATGTCACTGGTAATTTTACAACTGTTAAAAAAATTTGCAGAACAGCAATGGGATATGTCAGCTCTAAAGAAGGCAAAACTACTGTGAAATTGCTGCAAATTAATTTTCTGTTCTCAGAAAAAAAAAAAAAATCATTAAATCCAATTGGAAAAGAGGAACATTATTAGTTATTGACACCATTAAGTTATGTACATACATCCATCTTTATTATTAGCTACCCACCTGCCATCAGTATTTATCCCTATATTGTATCGCATGATAATCTCAACTTATTGGTCTCTAGACACCACCACGATATGAATAATAGATAATCACAGAGAGAAGGAAAGCTTATGATGCATTCTAAGTACTTACTGCAGGAATGCCTAGAGGACCTGATCAGGATGAAGTGATTGAGTGAGAAAGTGTTTCTGCTCAGTAAAACCAACACTAGAGCAGAGGAGAGAGGGCAAAAGTGAACAGGGAATTACAGAATACCATCTCACCCAGCTGGCTAGACATAGAACTGGAAGTAGGAGGTTTTCTCTTCAGCACTTCTCTTTCTCAGGACATGATGAGAACATCCTGAAAAAGTCTTATTACTCTCTGGGCTCGCAAACCCATACTAAACAGAATAATCTTGGGCTAAATATGCATATTTCTTCTTAAATCTGTGATAAATCTGTGATACGACCTCTTAAAATTGAACATGAAATAAAAAAAGACAAACAAAAAACAAGTTGAAAGAATCACTTACTGCCACACCTGTAATTACAAACACATAATTTGCAATTGAGAGCCCACTGAAAAAGTTTATATCTTTGAGATTGTTTTTATTACTTTTATGCTACTGGTCTCAACTCACAGAATTACTCTTATGTTTAGTTACTCATCCACTGGTGAGGATATTTTTTACTATTGAGACCATCAGTATTAAAAAAAAAAAAAAAAAAAAAAAAAAGGGATCCAAAATGAGCATTCCCAAGGCCAAGACCGCTGATTTCAGAAGGTACCAGAGAAAAGGCTATTCCTCAAAAGTCATGAGGCAATAGATACAGATCCTTTGTGTCATGGGCAAGTTATCATTTAAGTTTAGAGCAGAGATTTCTCTAGTCAGAGTTTTGTTTCTCACTGTAGCCCAGCAGCAAATGATGCAGAAATTACAAAACAGGCCACTTATAAAATCTACATTCAAGCTGGCTGAGTGACAAAGCAGAAAATTAAACACAGATTAAACACAGTTTTTCTTTTCTCTCTGAGGCCCCTGATCTCTCTGGATACCAATTTATTGCTTTTCCCTTGTGACTTAGATTTCAGGCCATCCATTCCTCAGCATCCATTCCTCAGCATTTTTTATCTTGTTTGTGGAACCTATGGGATGTTATGGGATGTCCTGAACTTTTATGGGAACCTCACTTTTTTTTTTTTTTTTTTTTTCCTTGTGTATACCTCTTTGGAAGTAGGAACAGAGTTTTCTATGAAAGTCACTGAGTGGGTGATATAGTCCAGAAGAAAAGGTCTACAGTGAGTTTAAATGATAATCACAGATCCCCAGTGTTAACCAACGTATTGAGACTGCAGTTCTCTAGCAGGGCATTAAGATAAGGTGGATTGTCTCATTTTCTTGACATGCACATAAGAATCTAATAAGCACACACCTATTTTTTTTCTGATGTTCTTGCCCTACCTATTACACTCTCTTTGTTTCCTATGGTGTGAAATTGTGCTGGCAGTGACCATGATGCTTAACTGTGCAAATTTAGCCAAGATTTAAAGAGGTAGTGCTGACAGATTTGATGCTGTACCTCCTAATAATTGATGGTGCTTTTTCTAATTAATTCTCCTAAAACAAAAAGATGAACGTGGGGATAGTGAAATAGAGGGGCCACTGTAAACAACGTCATTGTCCCTGAGATCCCAGAAGTCTATAACTTTCAGTTTTAAGGGAAAGTTGTTGATGTCTCTGGGGCTACCAAAATATTGATAATCACTTTGTCATTTTTAACTTTCCATTGTCCACTTTTAGCGCTGGCATGGAAGTGGAATAATAATTTTGGCTGTTTTTCACTTCTGTAGCTCCCTGTGAAATAGTTTGTCATCTAGGTAAAGACAAGGGACAATAAACTGTTCCCAAAACACATGAGCATAGCACTGATACAATCTGGTTGATATCCTAATTGGAAAGCAGAGCCAAACCACATTCAGTCACAAAATACAAACCCAACTTGTATCGTCAATTAGGAACACATAAAAACCCTGAAACCAGGAATCTACAGTAGTTTTTTGCTTTGACTTGAAAATAAATGGCTGCTAATTTGGTTTCATATTTTATTTAATGAAATATCAAATCTTTTCAATATTAAGAATTCTTCTGAATTTCTTTTTTTTTTTTTTTTTTTTTTTTTTTTTTTTTTTTTTTTTTGTATAATGAATATATATTTTTGTCCTGACCTCCTCTTTATAGAAGCATACACATGGACAGCTGGTTTATGAAGGTTCTTAGAAGGTTTTTCTTTTCCTCCTTATTTTATTTGCATTTTATACTTTATCTATAAACTGATAACACAATGAACTTTAAGGAGAGATAAGTTGTTTTTGTTGTGTTTTGTTTTCTTTTGGTTTGGTTTGGGGTTTGGGATTTTTTTGTTTGTTTTTTTGTTTGTTTGTTTTTGGGGTTTTTTTGTTTGTTTTTGGTGGTTTTTTTTGTTTGTTTTTGGGTTTTTTATTATTTTTGGGTGGGCTTTTTTGTTCTTTTTTGGGGGGGTTTTGTTGTTGTTTTTGTGAGTTTTTTTGTTTGGTTTGGTTTGGTTTTTTGTGTTTTTGTTTCGTTTTGTTTTTTTGTTTTTATTTTAAATCTAATCCAACATGAGGCTATGGTAAAAACTGCTTAATGATACTGACTAGAGAATGCAGAGTCCTTTCACTTTAATATGCTGCCAAATGTTCTTCCCCTTCCCAATTCTGCTCCCCTCTGAACACACAGTTGGGGATTTATCCTAAATGTTGTGCAGTAATAATCTTGCAACTTTGAAGAGGTAGGGTGTTATTTTTCACTTTTTTTTTTGTGAGAGACCCCAGGAGCATGGATTTTCCCTCTCATTCCTTCTCATTGTGTTTCACCATTATGTTACCAATTTATCAGATTTTTCCCTTTCTGCAATGACTCATATCTCTATCAATACAGTAGAAATATACAATAAGAATATAGTGGTGCTTTGTACTTGCAACTTTTTCTTCTGTTGTCCACTGACATTTCTGAAATATTACAGGGCATCTTGATCACAAAAAGCTGCTGCTGCTACTGTGAGATGATGCAGAATTTTTTCTAAAAAAATTATTTCAGTTTCTACATTACGAGATACATATGTTTATAGATTTGTATGTTATACATACCTGTACTTCAAATGTGTTAATTTTGATTTTGAAAAGGCCATGCAAATAGGTTTAGAATTATTTACATTTTTTTCTCTATATTTATGCTTTATGAAAGGAATACCTACACTTTTGAAGAATTTAATGGATGTTGTGATGTCACAAAACTGCAAGATTTTCTTACAGAAGACTGCTATAAATTTATTTTATAAAGGAAAAGGCTGCTGTTTTAAAAATTTTAATTTTCTTTTTTCCTGTTAATGTTTGCTGATTTTTAGTTTGCTTTTCCAAGTACAGAGAGCATTTTTATTACCATAAGAGTTTATTGGAATAAATTCCCTGTACATTGTGGAACAGACATTAAGTGTCAAAATAAATTTGTGCAATAAATGTTCCCTTCAGATGTAGGAAACTTTCTTTTATTTCACCTGATTGTCTTAGTTTGGAAAAACTGACAAGATTTTGAGAAACTCAGACTCCAGACGTCATGTATAGATATAAATAAGTGTGTATACACATAAATGCAGAAATAGATGTGTCAGTATTCATTTAAAATAAAGAGCAAACAGTGATTAAAAAGTTAAATGCTACCTGAATTGCTAATTTTAATGCTGTCACTTTGAGTTTAATGCCAGTTCAAGATCAAATGGATATAATGGCCATATTTTAGGCTTGCTACAAGCATTGCAGTTCAAAAT